ATAAAATCTTAAAAAAAAAAATCTGTGGATTCTACCTTCAAAGTAGATCCATTATCTTGCTCACTTCTCCCTGCCTCCACTGTTCTCACCCTGATCTCCTGTACTCTTGTCTCCCCCTGGACCATCACAGCAGCCTCCTCCCTGCGACCTACCCAGCCACCCAACCCCAGCGTCTGTTCCCTACAGGCAGCCAGAGGTAATGTGTAAATACCTGAGTCAGGTCACAGCCCTCCCACGCTTGGAACCTTCCCGTATCTCTAGCTCACTCAGGGTAACCAGCAAAATCCATGCAATGGCTCTCAAGGACCCACAGATCTGCCTTGTCATCTCTTTGCCCTCATCCCCTAAATACCTTCCTCCCTGCCTCCTCCCCTCCAGACACTCACTCCCTTGATGTCCCTCAAACTTACCTAGACATGCTCTTCCCTCAGGGCCTCGCATGGACAGTTCCCCTTTACCTAGAATGTTCTTCCTGCAGACATCCACAGGGCTCTCTCACCTCCCTCAAGGCTTTATTCAAATGCCGGCTCCTCAGTGAGGCCTCCCTGATGACCCTGGCTAAAAATGACTGTATCCCCCATCTCCACTTTACTTTTCTCTATAGGGCATATCATTTCTAACATGTCATTTATTGTCTCCTTCGTTGTAAAGTTCATAAGCTGCTCGTGGGAAAGGATTTTGTCTGTTCTGTTCGCTACTTTACCCTTGGTGCCAAGAACAGGGCCTGGCATATGATGGGGGTTTAGTAAGTGTACTTGAGTGACTGAATGTATAAAACTCAGCTGGAGGGTCTGCTTGGGACTAAAGGATGTGAAGGAGAAAGGACAAATTGGGTAGGAGCCTGGTTTGGTGGTTCAGGAAGGTGACTGGATGGGGTGCATCAATGCAAATAAAGGACACAGGCTGAGACTTTGTCACAGACATTTCTTGGAGCGAATATCTCATGCCCCCTCCCCCAATGACAAGGCTGGGTCTTTGGCCCCCATCCTCCCCCGCCACGGCAGCCTGCACTGACGATAACAATATTGAGGTCACAGACTGGCTTGGAATCAAGATCAGGAAGATAAATGTCGGGGTGCCTCCCCCAAGTCTGGGGGCCAAGCATCCAATCTGAGGGGCAAGCAGCTGGGAAATTGGGCCTGGGGGCTCCAGGGTCTGAGGTCTTCCTGGCTCCCAGGGTCAGCCCTCCATGCACCCCTGATTTGGGGGTGATGAAGAGTAATCATGGATCAGAGGTGGGTATCAGCAGGGAGCAGGACTGGGAGACCTGGGAGAGGCGGTGCTGGGAGGTGGGGGCCGGGGGAACCTTCCCCAGCTCCCACCGCTTCATCCGCAGATCCCACAGCACCTTACAGCACTCTGGTCCCCGTCCCACCCCTCCCCAAAACGAGGTAGGTTAAGAATGGAGCTTCCCCCCGCCCACCACGGAAGGGAGGAGACCGAGGCACAGAGAGGGGGATGGGGACCCAGGCCACCCCAGCCCCCGGTCCCTCCGCCCTCAGCTCTGGTGGGTCTGACAGTGACGAGAGCTGGGCAGAGTGGGGATGGGAGGGACATCCCCCTTTTCTCTCACCCATCCCAGGGTCTGGTTGGGAGAGCGGAATCTCACAGGTTCCGGATGTAATAGTTAATAATTTAAAGGAAGTGACAGAGGATCTAGCCCTCTGACCCCCTTGACCTATCCCTTGAACCCCTACAAGGCCATCCAAGTCTGGGTAATGAAGAAAGGTAAGTGCACATTTCCAGATGCTTGGGACCACATGCGGGTCCCAAACCCATACAGCATTGAGATTGTCTTGATCCAAGACCTTAATCCTCTGCTTCAGGCCATCAGACCTGAGGTACCCCAAAAGTCCCATTCCACTCAGGGAAAAGAGACTGTGGCATCACAGAGGGCCATGAAAACGGCTTCCAAATTTTACAAAGCAACCCCCAACTCTGAGATGGAGGGGAAGGAGTGAACAGGGCAAAACATAAAAAACTTGGACTAGGGCTGGGGCTTAAGGTTGGGCTTGGGACAGAGCGCAAGGGGAGTGTGTGTGTGTGTGTGTGTGTGTGTGTGTGTGTGTGTAGAGCCATAGCTAGCCTAAAAAGTGACTCTGTGCACAGTGCAGCCAGCCGAGTGTGGTGTGAATTCCAGCCACACCCCCACCTTGAGTTGTGTCTTTGCTTAGTGAACAGCCTGCACAATCATCTATGACAATGCTAGGTCCTAGAGATGGGTGTGGGGAGCTCTGGGGTGCTCCTGGAATCCAGGAACATGAGCTCGAGATGATGGATTTTTTGGTTGTTTTTTACTCTAGTAAAGGAGTAGTTCTGTGAGATGCTGGGGGCTTGGGCTGGGGTCCTTGGGGCTTGAAATCAGAGGTCTGGGACCTTGGGGTTTCAGGGGCTTATGGACAGCAGAATTCAAGGGCAGTAGGTCTCAGGGAATATCAGGCTTAAGAGGTCTGGGTCCAAAGAAATCTGGGATCTGAAGGTGCTTTGGTCCTGGAGCACCTCAGTTGTCTCTGGTATGAAGGGACCAAGGTCTTGAGTCAGGGACAATCCCAATGTTGTGTAGGCTTAAGCCCTGAATTTGGGGGACCAATGGCACCTTGGGATCTTGGAACCAGTGTTCCCAAAGCACCTCGGGGTCATTCAGGAGCTGGGGGCCAAGGGGTGAGAGGTCTGGGTTGCCATGAACATCCCATCATCTGGAAGCTGAGCTTCCAGCCTTGAGGGGATTGGGGATCTGTGGGTACAAAGCAGCCAAAGATTCCAGGCCATTCTGGGGCTTGAAATCCAAGTCTAAGGGATTTTGAAAGAGGGTTATCTGAGGACTTGAGACCAGTGCCTTGGGCCCTAAGGTGTGGGTGGTCTTCAGTACCACATCTGGAGTACTAGGCACCTCAGAGTCCTATATATGAGATCCAAAGCTCTGGGAACACTGGCTTGGGGTGAGTGGGTCTACAGAGGTCTTTGATCCCTGGTTCCCAGAGCATCCTGAAGTCTGACATCTAGATCTTGGTGGGGAGGATAGGGGGAGGCTCGGAGATGGGTCTCGCAAGTCATTTTGGTCAGAGAACATCTGTTTGGGCATACCTATGGACTCGGGGCATCTTAAGAGGGTTTGGTGCCTCCAGGGTCCTGGGGGCTACAAGAATATCTCAGATATGGGTGCCCCAAGTTTTAGGTGAGCATTCAAGGACCATTTGGGGTGAATCTGGGTTCTATGGTCTCAGAATCTGGGAGTAATTATATGCAGGCAGGGTCAGGTATTGGCAACTCCTGACTCACTGTAATCTGAGGGCTCATGGTGTCAGGCATGATGGGGTCTGGGTTGGTTATTTGAACAGGGAGTCAGGGTTCGGACCCTGCGTCTCTCAGGGATACATGTGCTCCCCAGCCTGCCTGAGGTGAAGAGTTTGGGGATGCCTGGAGTCTCCTCAGTCTAGGTCAGGGAGGGGGGGTTGGTGGCAGGATGGGGACACCAGAACTCAGGATGCCTGGGACCTCTTGGACAGACATCCCAATGAAGCTGGGTCTGGGGTCTCTCAGTCCTAGATTTGGGGTCCAGGTTCCAGGTCTGGGGTCTCTCAATCCAAACTCAAGCTCCAAGTTCCGGGTGTGCCTAGGTTTGGGTGTGGGGGTCCGAACGGAGTCCAGGGTCCTGGACCCTCAATTTGGGGTCCTCGGTGCAGCTACCGGACCCACCAGGCCGTCCTCACCGCGCCGCCTCCTCGTGGCGACCCCCGCAGCCGGCGCAGCCGCATCGCGCCGCGACCCAGTGGCACGCACGCAGGGGCGCGTAGCAGC